CCCCAAAACCCCAAAACCCCAAAACCCCAAAACCCCTTTTTACTTCTAAAATGCTGAAATTATTTTTCTAATCCGAACGTAAGCTTTGGTTAGGCTGATTTAGGTGATAAATTGGATATATTAATCAAAGAAGTTATATTTCAAATCCTTTGCCGACTTCTCCACCTTTACCTCCTTTGGTAGCATCGATGCTCTTGATAGAGTCGATGTTGAGAGGAACGAAAGATTTTACTTTCATTCGGCATATAGGTCAATCAGGAGATCTCTGGTTGGCAATAGTTGTAGCACAATCCTTGCAGACTCATAAATGCCCGCATGGCATGACAACTGTATTCTTTTCGTCGGTCATTCAGACTACTCATGTCGTTGAATCATCATCTGCGAGCATAGCAGGATCTTCTTCCTTCTTGTCTTCAAAAGCATCGTTGATTCCATAGATTTGTTGGAGGTTGAAGGCCATATCGAAGGCTACTAGAACTTGTTTAATCGGCTTGAGGGTGATCATGTGTGTTGACTTATTAATTTCAAAAACTCAGTAAGTAATCAGATTTTGGTAATCTGATACTCCATCTTCACCTACTGTTGGTCTTGCTTGAGGCTCAAGAGTTATCACACATGGGAAATAATTCACTGTTGAATTGAAAAGAGGCATCGACTCATATTTAGTGATGTCGAAGGAAGTGCTTTTTATCTTTTCGTACATTTTGTTTTTCCCTTCTTCCAATTCAATGACTCCAGCAGAAGGTAGATCTGATGGAATAGTGAAGTACATCGGGACTCCTTCAGCATTAGTCATTTGCTTGCAACAATAATAGATTGACACTTTAGCATCTTCAGTGCAGCTATATTTGAACCTGGGGTAATATCTATTTTGCTCTTTGGAACTCTGCTTTAAAACGAGGGTTTTAATATCCAAACCGAGCTTAGATTTTATTAATTTTCCATGCAAGTTAATGTTTCTTTCTCTTGCTAATTGCTTCACTTTTTGCTGTTTCAAAAAGTCTTCGGCTGCCTTGGTGTATTCATGCAAGTGATTATTAGATGGCATCCTATTTGGTAGATTGTTATCATCAGTGGTGTGTGAGTGAGCTTGGGATCTTCCTGAATGAGATTGATAGTTATCACTTCCGGAACTACTGGCGTTTCCCATAATTCTTCTATTTCTATTATTTTTATTAAAATTGGGGTTTTGGGGTTTTGGGGTTTTGGGGTTTTGGGGTTTTGGG